AATCAAATAAATAAATTAAAAAATGTCAGTCCATAAACAAGTCTTAAAAACAAGTGACATTTCATATTAACAATATCACCTGATATATTGCATCAGGGCATTGTTTCTTCATCCAGAACTAAAACAAAATTTTAAAATAAAACATTATGTGTAAAACCTTATGATTCAAGATCTGTAAAATCATGTTGTTAACATGAAGTAAATGTGTTAAATCTTAAGGCTTCCATCACTGATATGCTTCTTCACACGACTTTACAATATTGTTTTAGTTTGTTGAGATTTGCAGGTATTTGTTTCTGCACAGATAGTCACAGTGTTTTACTCAGATTAATGAATTCAYTGGGTTTGTTGTGCCATTGAAACACCTTTTTTTCCTCTCAGTTATTCTACTGTAAATTTGCAGCTTTGTTCCTGTTTTATGGCACAGTTTGGGTCCAGACTCATGCATGGCAGATGTGCTGACAAAATACCATACCTATTGGAATGGCACACCCTCGGGCGATACGCATGCTCTATGGAGGTTCGAAACTGATATAATTATAAATTAAAGCAGAAACATAATATGACCACCAATAAATAAATAAATACACCTAAAATCCTAAAATGCACCAATATTTTTTAAAAAAGGAGAACTTTACCTCATGTTTTATAATTTAATTGACCATCCTACTATTTTTTCCATCTTAGTTCCAACAAATTATATGGTTTAGAGCAGTAGTTCCCAAACTTTTTATCTTCTGACCAACAAAATATCCATGGCAAAAACTTGTGACCCCAAATATTACTGGTCTGAGTAAACAAACTTTGTTAATAACCCTAAAAACACAGGTTTTTGACAATCTAAACCGCTTGTACATAAATATAAATACGTATTTATACGTTTTTGTGTGTTTTTGTAATAGTTAGGGGAAATGTTACATCAGCAATTATTTTATTACCCTTTAAATTGATTTCTGGAGATTATCCAAGGTGCTTCATGACACATAATTGGGTCCCAAGCCCAATTTTGGGAACCAAAGTGCAGTGGTTCCCAAATTTTTCAGCTTTTGACCCACAAAATAACAGTAGCAGAGACCTGTGTCCCCAACTATTTTTGGATGATAAACATTTGCATCAGGTCAACTAAACATGGGCATAGTAACAATATTTTATACTACATTTATCCATTTTAAATACACTAACCTCACTCCTTTGTAACAACTAAGRCAAAAATGTAACTAATTCCGAAAACCTTTTCAGGACCCCACCTTGATGTTTGAGGACCCCACTTTGGGTCCCGACCCCAACTTTGGGAAACACTGGTTTAGAACATAATTTAAATTTCACTGTTAAAAAACTAAATAAATGTGTGTGTGTGTGTGTGTGTGTGTGTGTGTGTGTGTGTGTGTGTGTGTGTGTGTGTGTGTGTGTGTGTGTGTGT